ATCGAAACATAATAAAATTATATTTAATCAAATGTCACCTCAGAGAATGTTGAAGCAGTTTTAACTACTCGAACAACCAGTTCTTTCTGGCAGTTCTTATACTCCTCAACTATCATTTGGTATTGATCCCCAAGTTTCTTGAGTTTTGTATTGGTAAATTTCACTCCATCTTTTCGAGTATCAAGAATAATAAAGTGGGTGTTCAGTTTCTTCCTGACCTTTTGCTCTTCCTTCTGGGTAATTCTGAAGAAATGTCCAAACTGTGGCCCTCTATCCAGCTTAAGTGCTTTATCAACAACCAAATCTAAATCACTGGAAGTTTTCTCATGTAAAGCACGTATTTCTCTCTCTATTGTTTCTTTCTCATTTTTCAAAGAAGATAAGCTCGAATCATAGGAAGGGGAAATCATATACTCCCCATTCTCCAGTTGATCGAGGTCAATCGAAGTTTCCACAAGAGCAATGAACCTATTTATGTGTCTCTCATCACACCAATACTCTAGATGGTCTAAATACTTTTCCTTGATCAATGATGCAAATTGTCCATTATATCTTTCCAAAGCACCTTTGATGTATGGAAGTCTGATACTAGACTGCAATACAAAATAAAAGAAAATAAAAAGTGAAATACAATTAAATACAAGAGCAGCAATATGTGGTGGGGGGAGGGGTGATGAAAAGCAATAGAAGCACCTGATAAAGCTTAACAATATGCACCAAGCTAGCTCTCTTTTTATGAAAATTGTGCACCAATCGTTCAATATCTGAAATCCTTTTCAAATGTTGCCTTAGATCTTGGCGAAGTTCAGCATCCTCAACAAATGCTTGGACCAAATCCAGCCGACAGTTAATCTCTTGCGCATCCAGTAAAGGTTGCTTCAGCCACATGTGCAACATTCTTTTACCCATTCCAGCTGTACATGTTCTATTCATGAGGCCAAAAAGGCTGAAGTTCTTGTTAGCATCTGACTTGCTCTCCAGAACGTTTAACGCCTTCATAGCAGCAGAATCTAATTTCATGTAACTGTCGAGGTTATATCTTCTAATTGTGTAATTTTCATAATTACTCTCATCTGCAAGTAATTCTGCATAAGAAAGAATGGACCCCAATGCTCCGGGTGCCAATTCAAACCCAGACACTAAATCTTGAATTGGTTCTTTAGTACCCTTGACAAGTCTACCCAGATCCTGCACCACATCTCTTCCTTTAAACTCAGACTTCTTTCTTTCAGTTACCATAACACCACACCTTGTCATTAC